ATTTTGAGTTTCCAAAAGTTTCTTTACTTCTTTTTCTAATAAAGAATTTTTCTTTTTGAGAGCAAGTTTTTCAAATTCTTCTAGAAGTTCATCATATGAGGTAGATAATTCATCATATAAAGAATTGTCATTCATGTTTACCTCATTTTTGAAGGCCATGAAGCACATGTTTACAATTTCCTCTTGACTTCCATCTTCTTCATGGTCATCATCATCACTCTCATCCAATATTAATTGAAGTGCTTTCTTTTTGATGAGTCTATTCTTCTTTTCACCCTTTTCTTTTTTATTTTTGAATTGATGATTGTTGCGGAAACTTTTCTGTTTCTTAATAAGAAGAATTGGATCATCAAGTTCTTCATTATTCAAATTTTCACTTGAAGTGCTTTCATCAACTATTGATTCTAAAGCAATTTGGCGCCTTTCTTCTTCTTTGTTTTTCATTGTTTTCTCCTTCGTCTCGGTACGATTTAGCTCATATGTCATCAATGTTCCATAAAGCTCTTCCAATGGATAAATTTTGATATCTTTGGTCTTCTCTATCAACATTCTCAATGGGCCCCATTCTTCCAAGAGTGACCTAAGCACAAGTTTACCATTAGTGAATTTTTGATCAAAGCCTTTGAGACCATTAACAATATCGGTAAAACGATTAATCATATCAACAATCGGTTCATTTTCTTTCATAAAGAAATTTTCAAAATCTTTAACTAAGAGATTTATTTTAGTTTCTTTCACTTTGCTAGTTCCAAAATGAGTAATTTCTAAAGCATGCCAAATATCATATGCTGTATCACATATACTAATACAATTAAATTCATTTCTATCTAAAGCACAATAAAGTATTTTTTTTTGCTCTAGCATTCAAAGACAATTTTTGTTTATCTACTTTACTATATTCTTCTCTAGGTTTAGGAATTATTTGATCCAATTTACCATCCTCTCTAGTAACCTTTTTAGGCACATATAGACTAAATTCAATAACTTCCCAAATATTATAATCTATTGATTGAATAAATATTGTCATTCTAGCCTTCCAATAGTTATAATTAGTACAATTAAAGAAAGGAGGTCGGTTTGTAGAACACGCCTCAAGATTTTGAAAAATTGGGTTAACCATTACTCAAGATTGTGAAATTTTTGAAAATGAGTACCAAGATCTGATACCAATTGAAAGCTCGGGAATGACTAACTAAGAGGGGGTGAATTGGTTTTTAAACCTTTTTCAAAAATTAATTCTAGATATAAACCAATATGATAGTAAATATGTCAATTAAACAAATAGGTACAAATAAGAAAGCAAGTAAAGACTAAATTGATAAATTTAGATAATAAATGCAAGTATAAACACGATAATTAAAAGGGAGAGAGAATGCAAATGATATAATTGTGGAGGTTCGATCCAAAGTAATGATCTACAACATTCGTTCCCAAGCTCTCCGACACGAGCAAGGCCTTTTTACTATGTTGATTGACTTATGGTACAATTCAACCCTTTACAACGCTTTTGGTGATTTACAAACAAGGAGCACCACTCCTTTACAAAGTTGAGCTTTACGGGACTTCAACATGACCCACACTATTGAGTTTTATGGGACCTCAATTTGACCTACATGGCGACTTACAACAAGGAGTATCAATCCTTACACACTATTGAGCTTTAAGCTTTACGGGACCTCAATTTGACCCACATAGTGAGTTACAACAAGGAGTACCAATCCTTACACACTATTGAGCTTTTCGGGACCTCAACACGACCCACACTTTATCAAAGTGATTTTACAATTAAATCCTCTCTTGATAATTAATACAAAACAAATTAAGTACTAAAAAATACTAACACTTCAATGAATAGTAACAAATGATAGCTCAAGTGTTAGATAAAAAAACTTTGATGAAAATGACAATTAAAAATTAAGTTCAACCAATCAAAGTATTTTAATAAGAAGATGAAGAACAATTAAATGCAATATAAATTCAAATAATCTTCTCAAGAAATATTTCTCTTTTAATGAATGATTATAATAAATTAAGTACTAAGAGAGAAATGAGAAACTTTGATAAATATGATAATTTTACAAATTTAATTCAATCAATCAAAGTTTTCAATATGAAGAAGTTGAAAAGTTTCTGCAATATAAATGCAAAGAACTTCTTCAAGAATATATCTCTTTGAAAATTGATATAAATAAGTTGAGCACAAAAAGATATGAAAACTTTGATGAGGAAATGATTCAAGAAATTTGATTCAACAATCAAAGTTTTTTAATATAAAGAAGTAGAAAGATTTATGCAATTTAAGTGCAAATACATTCTTTAAAAATATACCACTCTTTTAAGAATGATATAAATAGGTTAAACACAAACAAAGATGAAAAACTTTGATGAGAATGATGATTAATGAGTTTGAATCTATAAAAGTTTTTTATATGAAGAAACAAATGAAATGAATATAAATGAAAGCTTAAAGAATTTTTAAAACAAAAATATCTCATTTTGATTCACTTGGAAATCTTGTGAAGAATGGAAAGATTAACGATATTTATAGAGTTCAAAAATGAAAAAAAAGTCTGTATTTGCGGAAGATTAGTCCTGTTGACCGCCTCTTGTCCGGAAGATCAATATAGTTGTTTGTATAGCAAAAATAAGAAATCAGAACATATAAATTCTGGACCATTAGAGGGTGTCCGGTCGATCACCTCCTACGGCTGATCGACCGCCTCTCTGGGTGGTTGACCGCCTCGACAGTGTGGTATTTTTACATTTTGGCTTGTTTGTTTCAATATGAAAGTTTTGAAGTGCGTGGACCTTTGGAAAATATTTTTAACTATTTTTTCATGATAAAAACATTTTTTAAAATCCAAATATCACTTTTAAAAGTTATTTTTATATTTGATCAAAACATTGCATTGGAATGACTTTTAATGCACAAAAAATGTTTTTAACGCATAGAAGGATTTTGAGTTTAACTATTCATTGTCAAATATCAAAGTGTTAGTACCTTTACATTTTGCCTAAAAAATCAAGTCTTTGATCTTCCTTCAAAGTTTCTTCCATATTTGGCTCTTGAACTTTTGATCTTTATCTTTCTTGTTATTGATCTTCAATGCTTGACTTTTCTTTGCGTTTATCTTTTAAGCTCTCGTTTCGAATGATTTGATTTGAATGCATAAACAACTTCCAATTTGATCTTCATTTCAAGTCCAATATATGTTGTTTGATAGATTTTAACATTGAACTATCATCACTCAAAATAAATTATTAAAAACAATATCAATCTTGTTTGTTATGATTAAAACATTGAGAATGAAGTCAACATTATGGGTTTTTTAACCACACATCTCATCAATTTCTATCAAAATCTATTGAAAATCTGATTTTAATTCCCACCAAACAAGGACTATATTCCCAAGCCGACAACTGCTTATTTGAACGACGAGAATTTGGATTTAACGAAGTGTTTGAGTGGAAATGCAAATTACTCACACGCTGCTGGTATTTTGAGTCGACACAAATATTCCACCATTACATCCACTGTATTTTTTTTTTTTTTGAATGAAAAAATTGAGTGAAAGCATGTAAATGCACACAAGTGAAGATCTTGTAATTAATAATGTTTCAAATCTTGTTTTACTGGTTTTTGATTTTGGGAGTGAGGGTTTGGAGAAGAGGAGTTCATTTAATTATTATTATTATTATTATTTTGGCTTTCCTTTAATCATTTAATTATTAAAAGGGTAATTATATTCACACTATAATTTTTGTTAAATACACTACACTTTAATTGCATTGAACGTCCTCAATTTTTGCTCATTTTTGCATTTATATATCTAACTTTTTCATCATAGTCTTATCCTCAAGTATTCTCTTAATTTTGGCATCTTTTATATAATGAAGGTTTGCGTCTGTACAATTTATTAAGAAATTTATTTGTTTCTCATATTTTTAAATAACTAAAATAAAATAAAAAAGTTTGACAAACACATTTGTCCCTAATTTCAATACATGTTAGCAAAAATAAATAAATAAAAAGAAGAAGAAAAAAGAGAGAGATAAAAATCGTTATTTGAAACAAAGATATATACTAATTTTGTTTGAATGTTAATTATAAGCATGCGACGAAAAATTTTGAGATATAAGTGAATAAATGATCAAAATTGAAGACCTCCATTGCAATTTAAATATGCGTGCATATATTAAAAATTATAGTGTTAATATAATTAATGTAAATTTATCATTTTACCCCTAACTTATTTTATCAATTTGAGTCAAACTTCTAATTTCAGGATTACGTGACAATTAATTGGTGATTCCATCTATTTGATTCTGGCTACAATAGTAGTGAAAGATTTGGGACAACGATTGTAAAATTAAAAGATTTACGCTCTGTTTGAGCCACATTCTTTTTTAAAAAAAAAAAATATTTTTAAACAGTGATTTGATTTAATTTTAACCATACATTTTTCAATAAAATAATATCCTACGTAAATTTAAAACTTTTTCTTATTTTTTAACTATACATTTCTCATCAATATACTATTCAAAAATATTTTCTTATGAAAATAATGCAGCTCAAACAAGAGCTTAGGTGTAGTCTGTAGCAAATTGAAAGGTTTGAAAACTTTGTTGCAATTTTTTGTAATANAATAATGCAGCTCAAACAAGAGCTTAGGTGTAGTCTGTAGCAAATTGAAAGGTTTGAAAACTTTGTTGCAATTTTTTGTAATATAAAATTGGGGATTGCTAATCGCTTTATAGATATACTATTGATGACTTAAATGTAATTTTATTTAGTCGAGAAGAAGGGTTTAATGGTCTGTTCAATACAAAATTAATTATTTGGGACTGAAGTGCTATGAAGGTGAAAGGTCGAAGACTTAAATGTTAGAAATAGAAGATTGAGGATGTGAACGCTCAACTTATAAAATCTTGGATGTGATATTCCTTTTACTTCAAAACTTGATCCATAATTGTGAATAAAGGCAGGATTAAAACACAATATCAAAACGAGAGAGAAGTGAGGAAAGTTACAGTTCAATTTCTTTTTCTAAAATGTGAATACTTATTTGGTATTTTTAATCTAGGTTATTTTTATTGTGTGAAGTTTTGCGGGCTTGTTCAGTAGGAAGATGAAAAAGTCTCCATTGCCATTGCAAAATTTATGCGGGCCCGATAAGCAGTTGATCAAGAAGGAAGATTTGGCGAAGCTTTTGAGATGGCATTTTGGGCATTCTGGTTTCCGAGGGAAGCAATTGGAAGCCATTGAAGCCGTATTATCAGGTTTCGACCATTTCATATGTTCATGCAATTCTGGGTGTTATGGTTAATTGTGTTTATTCACATTGCAGGTAGAGATTGTTTTTGTCTAATGCCAACTGGCGGAGGAAAGTCGATGTGTTATCAGATTCCTGCTCTAGCAAAACCTGGGATTGTGCTCGTTGTTTGTCCTTTGATAGGTGAATTATGAAAGTCTTTGTTGATTTTATTTCCATGTGAGTGCTTAAGAAGTACAGTTTCCTTGTGAGTGTGCCAGGACAAAACTTGATTGCTTTTGCTGGGATTTCTGTTTGATTTCAGCCCTTATGGTAAGGGCTTTTCAAATGTTTTGTTCTCATTGTCTCAACTATGTTTTAATGGACTTTGAATATGGTTCTTATTAAATTAAAACTATTTTCTTTATTGGCTAGGAAAATCAAGTAATGGCGTTGAAAGAGAAAGGAATTGCTGCTGAATATCTCTCATCAACCCAGATTGCGAAAGTCAAGAATAAGGTATCGAAGATTCTGATGAATTTTTTATACTGATAAGTAGGAGTAATGATTAGTGGCAGAACCTGGAATATGAATGATTGAAGGCAACTTTTTGAAGGGATTAAGTAAATGAAGTCTGATGGACCTTAGTCACAAATTCCTATGCATGTCTAAGAACGGATGATATTATTCGAAATGCTATATTTAGCATCTAAGTTCAACCAATCCTCAATAATGCATTGAATTTCAAGAGAAAATTTGGTAAATCCTCCAAAACATTGACTAAGCTTTGAAGTTATCAACTAGCATGATAATGTTGTAGGAATCTGCTTATAAATTCATAATTGCAATATTCCTAAAGGTAAATTGTAAATAAGTTTTTCTAGGTGGCAGTGAAGATGCACAACATTTTGCTAATTTTATTACGATGAAAGAAGATACTATCAACATTAAGATGATAAATATTTAATGTTCATGGTTGTCAATGGAGTTGGAGTGGCCCAATGTTTGCTAGCGTATTGATTGGATATTAATCAAATATGAAAAAAGCTAGCTGAACAAGTTCAAGCTCAATTAGATATGACTGATGCAGGCCATGTTTGGCTCAACCTGAATTAAGCTTGATGCACATTTCTAATTTTACCTGTGCAGTCCTGAACCAAGTTATGAAATCCAAATCATCCGATCCTTCAATTACGTGGATTACAAGTAATTTACTTTTGCTGGTGTTTTGTGGCAATTGGACTTTAAGTTGTTTGCCTTGTAGTAATTGCAATCACTCTTTGGTCATACAAGTGGAAGAAAGAGACAATAAAGAATTTGAATCTGATCTTCATCCATTTTATTTTCTTTATTTAACAATTGCTAGATAAATCTATTAAGATAAATTATCCAGACATGAAGCAGACTTAAGCAGGAATATGGCACTTAGAGTAAAGCCAACCCAGAGTCAAACCTAAGATTTCCTTTTGGCCCTATATTTGGAGTTAGGGTAGATATCGTCCCAAAATTTCTGGGTTAAGAGGACCAGGAGGAAAGATAGGGGGTGTGAGGAGGAGGGTGGTTGCCCTCCTAGCCATGCTACCAGTTCTGCCTCTAGTTATTACTATGTGTCAGAGAATGATAATGTGGCTGTGGAAGTTGTATTTCTTTATGATTGTGTTCTCATCTTCGGTAGGACTTTCCCCTCCC